TATTTAAAAAAATATTATATTTGTAAGGCTGGGCATGGTGGCGCATGCCTTTGATCCCAGCACTCGGGAGGCAGACACAGGCGGATCTCTGTGAGTTCAAGGCCAGCCTGCTCTACATAGAGAGTTCCAGGCCAGCTGGAGCTACAGGGAGACCTGCCTCAAAAAAAAAAAAATTCCATAAGCTGTCCAGATAGACACTAGCCCAGAGAGACTGGTAGAAAGAAGAGGGGCTGAAAATGATCTAACAAGCATATGGCTTTTATCTACAAAGTGCTAAACATCCTCTACTACCTTTCTGAATACTTCACTTACCTTCCAGAACTCTCTCTCCAGCACTCTGAGAATTAAAGAGGCTGACCAGTACTGTAGAGAGCCTGCTGCATAGGAAGAGCCTGGGACCCGTGGCTCTACCAGTCCAGGATGGTTGCAGATCCGCTGTAGCCGTGTTAGGACGCTCAGAACACTAACAAAGTGACCACTCTTTAGAGCTTCCTGGGTCCTGCTCACGGAAAGGAGACAGGAGAGCTCAGTGTCAGGGGAAAATGCATATCCATCACTCAGACTCCTCATCACTAACTTTCCTAATCTCATAAATATAAGAACTAGCAAGATTTCTTGAGATTGGGCCAATAAATTAGTTATGCTACACATTCAAGTCTACATTCCCAAACAGGTCTTTACTGAGTTACCCAATAAAACAATTCAGAAAGCCAGGGATGAGAGGTAACTGTGGGACAGATCTCAGGTGCTATACCTTCTCAAGGGAGAGGGCTGTTTCTTTGTAAAGGATCTCTTTGTAAAGGGACCATGTTTCAGTCACAAGCAGGGTTAAGTGTACTGAAGGAGGAACAGGGGCATTCAAGGTAGCCTAAAGTGTGAGAGGAATTGCCGAGCCAAGGGGTGGGATAAGAATATACCAGAAAGCACAGCCCTTGAACCTGCAGGTAGAGTGTGTAATGTTGGATGAGGTGCTGAAGAGGCCATAGGACAGGCCTGCTGCAATATAAGACAGATATAGACCCACAGGGCACACTAGGGTCATGGGGCTACAACATAGATAGTGCTCATGAATGAGGCGGGGACTCCCCAGGTAAAGCAGAGAGTATCTAGTAACCTAAGGAAGGTAGTGAGGAATAGCATCTGGAGAGCCTGAGAATAGGATGCAGAACCCTGGTGAGAGCACTATGAGTTTCTAACAACATCTGACAACTTGGAACAACTCATCCAAAATGGTGCCCAAAAGAACTGAACTTAGGAGTGTGGGGCATGTGAATCTGACATAATCCAGGTATAACTCAAGTGTGCCCCAGAACCAAGGAGGTAGTAATCTTAAGAAATGCTGCCAGGAGAGGACCCTAAAGGAAACCCAGGGGAAACCCAGACAGTCAGCTCTCAGTTTTGTGACATAAGTTTCTGCATGGGGCTGGGCACGAGAATGGAGTAACAAAAGCAGGATAGGACCTATCTGTCTGGCTTGGAGGAACAAAGGTAGAATAGAAGACAGACAGGGGAGTATTAAAACAGTGCCATATTTGTCTGTGTGGGATAAAGCTAGGCTGGGCTTCCTGAGAAAAAAGATTAAAAGTGCCAGAAAAGTGAAGGGACTAGGTATAAGTGGAGGCACTGAGACTAGAAAGGAAGCTCCCCAGGGAGCCAGCAGCCAGGAAAGGGGCAGAATCTGTCTGGAAAGAAGCTCCCATGCTGTTGGATAGCACAATGCAGAAAGGAAGGCTAACCAGGACAGTGTACTCAGTACCTCAGAACCTTGAAGCCATCAGCCACAGGGTTTAGTCTGGCAGTCCAGGTGCCTAGAATGCTGGCAACAAGTGCCAAAGTAGGGCCAAGGCACACACGGGCCTAACATACTAACACTTGATATGTGGCTCAGAGACCTGAAAAGGAAGTCTCGCTACCATTCTACTCAGGGAGTAGATGCCACAGTATCAGCCAAAGATCAGCAAAACAAGAAGTACTTTCATCTAGCCAGTCCAAAACCATGGCATCTCAAACCTCTACAACATCACCACTCTAATCACAAGTACCTCACCCCAGGAGCACAGTCACAGATCAACAAGCTAGATTCTCTGGAAAATGACTTATTGACACTTCTGTTGGGAGGACAATCTTAGGGATACAAAAGTAACTTCAAGCTGTGCTTCCCTTGTGTGCCAGTAGTGGCAGCTGACCTCCACAGAAGATACATCCCCTTCTATCCCCACAAACATTCCCCACTAACTAAAACTAGCATGTCACTAAGATCATCAGAAGATGACATTAACATTTTGCTGAAACATCTGACAAATGCCAGAGCTGAAGCTATGGAGCTAAGTATCTTCTGCTCATGCAGCATCCACAATGTTTAGAAGATTGGTCACAACAAACATTGTGAGGATGTATTCATTGCTCATATTCCAGCTTAAGAGATCAGCTGAGTGTCTCATTATAAATGCATCTTGTCAAGAATGGCCTGGGAAATCCTCAAGTGAGTAGGCATTCATACTTATACTTGGTTCTAAAATTTCTAAGTCTTTCTCGAAGGCATCAGGGTTCTACACACTACTGTGAGAACTTTAGACACACACACAACTTTTTCCTCAGTGACCCACATCACCTTGTACTCTGCAAACAAAAAGCAGTAGGAGACTGGCCAGGTCCCACTGCCAGCTACTGATGGCCGTGGTCTTGTGCCCTACTGCCTCCCAAGCTTAGTGCAGCCTAAACTGTTTCTACCCACAATGAAGGCAAGCACTCATAAAATAGTTTGGGGCATGTCTGCTTGGCAAACAAAGTCCCACATTATATTCCCACCCAGAGTGGGAACCTGTGAGTCAGGAGAGGCTGGAGTAGGTCCACATGCCAGAGACCCCAAGAGACTGCTGAGATGGCACAGAGGGTCGTGATGATAAACACAACATGTGATTCTTCTCAAGAGTTGAGAGAGCAAGTGTAAATTCTAGCACCAATAAATTTTTATTAATGTATATGAACGTATTGCCTGCATGTATGTAAAAGCACCTGTGTTGTCCAATGCCAGAGGAAGTCAGAAGAGGGCGTCAGATTCCCCTGGAACTGGAGTTATAGTTGTTATCCATCATGTGGGCGCCAGAAATTGAACCTGGGTCCTCTCAAAGAAGCAGCTAATGCTCTTAACCACTGAGCCATCTCTCCAGCCCCAAGCACCAATAAATTTAAAATTAAAATCCTTTGGAACTTGATTTTCATGTTTCTTACATTTGCTAGTTTTAAACACAGGACATTACAAAAGACAGAGGATTCAAGTTGAGTCCACCGAATTGGCATGTAAGGCCATCAGGCTAGAGTTGGGGACTGATCTGTTTAGGTCACAAGATATCGTTCTGTGAGAATAGGTACTATGCCCCACTGGCTTCCTTCCAGCCAGATCATACAGACCTGATGCAGCAGGCTGCTTTCAAAGAGCAAGCTTATCAATCAGTATTGCCTCTCCAGGTTGAGTTTAAACTAAACACCCAGACTGACCCAGGTAACAGCAGCAATAGCAACAGTAGAATGGACATAAATGGACATCAAGCTACTATACACATGGTAGGTATGTGAATAAAGCATGTCTAAGGGCAGAGTACTGGAAGGGGGCAGATCCGGGTAAGCCATGGGGAAGTAGGGATGTCTGGAAGCCTGAAGAACCCCCAGCCTTCATTGACAGGAGCACCCAATGAGGCCACAAGATACATCTGTTCCTCACTGCTGAAAGGCAAGAAGATCACACAAGCCAGCACTTACCCGGGCTGCAGGATGACATCCTCATATAAGGCTTTCTGCCGACTGGAAAGGCGGCACTTCAGAACATGCTCATACTTCCTGGTCAGCTGCTTCTCCACATCTCTCTTGGTTCTCCTCAAAATAAATGGTTGTGTCACCTGAAGAAAATAACAAGTGTCTTCCTCCCAAAACAATGACATGGTACCTTTAGCAGGAAATGTTTTAAATGAGTTAACTAGAGTAATAGAAGCAAACATACCCTGTGTAACCTTATGACCATTTTGTGATAGTAATCCTGGTTTTCTTCACTGGGGGCTTTCAAGGGAAAGCTCAGATAAGGCCTGGAGATCCCAGGAATGAGAAAGTGTACCATGGTCCAGAGTTCCAGGAAGGTGTTATGCAGTGGCACATCAATCAGAAGTAGGCGTTGCTGGCTGTAAACAAAATGAGGCTGCACAACTGTTCTCTAGGGCAACATGTGAGAAAGGGAAGACAGTAACTCTGCATATACCCTCAAGAAAGGGACTAAACAAAAGGACTCTGTGTGTGTCTCCTTAGCCTTGCATGCTGTGACAGAAATTCCTTGTCACTGAAAGGCCACTGGCACTGTGTCTGCAATGAGCAAGATTTCTTTAGAAGAATCCTTACGTAAGAACAAAGAACACTTGGGGAATCTGAGGAGCACAAAACATCTGAGTGAGGTCAGACCTCTGCAGGTTGAAGACTGCTTCCCAGTGCCGCTCGGTCATGCCCTTCACCCGCTGCATTTCGTCAATGACAAGACATTTCCATCGCACCCTTGAGAAGGCAGTGTAGCCCCTGAAGAACTGCTTATAGGATGTGATACAGATGTGGAAGCTGTTGGGTTCAGTCCACTCCTGCAACACAGAAAGAAACCTTGTCTTTCCTGCAACCATCTGCAGAGCACTGCCAGAGATGACATTCAGTGGAGCCGCACCCACTCATTCTTCTCAATAACTCCTACATATGAAAATGGCTGAGGACACTCAAACTTCTAGAGTCTAAATAACTTGACAAATTAAGCTTCTTTGAAGGCACTAAAAACTATCATTAGGGGGCTGGAGAGATGGCTCAGCGGTTAAGAACACTGGTTGTTCTTGCAGAAGACCCTGATTCGAATCCCAGCACCCAAATGGCAGCTAACAACTGTCCATAACTCCAGTCCTAGGAGATCCGACAGCTTCTTCTGACCTCCACGGGCACTGCACAACATGGGTGCACTTACCTACATGCAGGCAAAACAAGCATATACATAAAGTAAAAATAATAAATAAAATTTAAAAACAAAAACTATCATTAGGAAAACAGATTATCAGAGAAGACTCTAAGGGATAGCTTTTATAGTGTATAATCTAAGCAAGGTAAGAAAATGCAGATATCTATGTTACAACTAACTGCAACATGAGATTTGGGGATTTTAGAGGGTTTGGGTTTTTTGGGTTTTTTTTTGCTTTGTTTTGTTTTGGTTTTTCTGAGATAGGGTCTCCCTGTAGCCCCAGCTGGCTGGGAACTCACTATGTAGACCAGGCTGGCCTCAAACCCACAGAGATCTGCGTGCCTCTGCCTCCTGAGTACTAGGATAAAAAGCATGTAGCACCACATCCCACACAATGTGAGATTTTTTTTTAAAGCAAATGGGGGGAGGGGTTTAGGGGTCGCACATGCCTTTAATCCCATCACTCAGGAGACAGAGGCAGGCAGAGCTCTAAGATTGAGGCCAGCCTGGTCTATATTACGAGTTCCAGGCCAGCTGGAGCTACAGGGAAACCCTTTCTCAACAAAAGAAACAACAAAAAAGCAAATGAGACAGCAATGGTCTGAATGTGCTCCCTCCAAAACTCATGTTGCATTGGTTCTCCACTGTGGCAGCATTAAGAGTTGGGCCTTCTCTGCCTTCAAGAACAAGTCAAAACCTTATGAAAGGGCTGCAAGGATCCAACTGACGTCCTTCTGCATTTCTGCCTTCCACCATGTGAGTACACATCAAAAAAGTATCATTTTGGAAAACTGAAGCCAAGCCTTCTTCGCCAGACACTAAACTTTAGTCTTAGACATCCAACCTCTACAACTATAAGCAATAAATTTCAGCTCTTTATAAACTACCTTCTTTGTGGTGTTTTTTTTTTGCAGCAGAAGAAAAAGACCAAGACAGGTAGGCAAAGAGATATACCTCAAGGCTCTCATGTTTTCATTAAGTGCTATTTAACCCTGTAATGTCTAACAATGAAAAAAAGATGAACTACACACATTCACTCAGGACCTGACACTACAAACTGGGGCAAAAGGAAATTTACAATTGTCACAAATATTCCTGTGAACAATTCACAGGATTCACATAACAGATGCATAATTCAGAACTCAGAGGGCCTCACATACCTCATTAAGATTGTGAAAATCAGCAGGGTCTTGAAGCAAAAAGCATTGTACTCTCCAGAAAGAAATTCTGTTTTGAACTTTCTTCCCATTACATTACACAGAATTGAATTCAGGACTGTGCCAGGAAAGAACTCTACCACTGAGCAATACCCATAGCCCAGGACTTCAGTTCTGGAAGGCAATGCATTGATACGGAAAGGATATGGTACATCCAAATCCAAGCAGCCTTCTCCAAGGGAACTAGAGTCCAATCTGTGTCTGTGCTATCAAGGGGCTCAAATTCTAGAATCACACATAGGTTTGGTAACTTACAAATAGCTGATTGGCACATAGTAATCACAGTAAGCGGCATGACTCCATGTTTTGAAATGCATGCCTATAATCCCAACGCTGAGGTGGCTGAGGCAGGAGGACTGAGTGTTCAAAGCCAGTCTGGGTTACATGAGATTCCATGTCAAAAATAAAAATAAAAGCCACTGCCGGGCGTGGTAGTGCACACCTTTAATCCCAGCACTTGGGAGGCAGAGGCAGAAGGATCTTTGTTAGTTCGAGGCCAGCCTGGTCTACATAGTGAGTTCCAGGACAGATGGAGCTACAGAGAGACCCCGTCTCAAAAAGACAAAACAAACAAACAAACAAACACACACACACATGTAGTGGTGCATGCCTTTAATTCCAGCACTCAAGAGGCAGAGGCAGGCGGATCTCTGTGAGATTGAAGTCAGGCTGATCTATATAGTGAGTCCCAGGCCAGTTGGGACTACAGGGAGATTCTATCTCAAAAAACCAAAAAATAAAAAAAGACAAATAAGATGAGGTGCTGTTAAACTTTAATTCATGTATTACTACTGTGTGTACGTGTGAGATATGTCTGTATATGAGCATGTGTGTACCACAGCATGTGTATAGGGGTCAGAGAACAACTTTGTGGAGTCAATTTTCTCCTTCCACCTTTAATTTGGGTTCTAGGGATCAAACTCATATTGATAGCAAGCACTTTTACTTCCTGAGCCATCTCACCAGCCTCTATTTCATGTTTAAAAGATACTTTAACTAGAGATGTAGCTCAGTGGCATAGCAGTTGCCTACGATGTGTGAAACCCTAAATGTATACCCACCATTGAAATGGGGTGGGGGGGGTTAAGGAAAAGAAAGAAAAGGAAAAAGAAGAGGCCCAAAGAGACAGCTCAATGTTTAGGAGCACATATTGCTCTTCCAGAAGACCCAAGTTCAATTTCCAGCACTGACTCACATCGGGCAACTCAAAACTGCCTTTTAACTCCCACTCTAGGGGATCCAAACCCTCTGGCCTCTCTGGGTACCTTCATTCACATGCACATATACCACACACAGAAACATACACATAATTAAAAATAAAATAAACCTTTTTTAAAAAAAGAAAAGCTACCTGTCTCTTCGCTTTGAGTTCTCTGTGGTTACCAACATAGGAAAGGGTTTTGAGCCCAGGACACCAGCGCTTCAACTCAAGTTCCCACTTGAGTATGTTACAACTCCTCACAACAACAAGATGAGGGCCCCAATTACCTATAAAAGAAAAACAATCTGTCAGATCCAGGAACCTATAGCTGTATTTAATAGAAACTTAGTATGTGGTGCATGAGAAGAACAGATACCAAAACAAACACTATCTTCCACCATTATTTCATTGCTGATGTGTCCCTGCCTGTTTTAGGTTTTAAAAACCTAAAATGATGGCAGAGAGAGGGAGAAATATACTCAACATACAATATATCCTCCTATCAGAATGTCTTTATGTAAAACAGTATCAAGTACAATGAATATATGCAATGAAAATTTCTAAAAATATTGTTTTAATGCCTAATATGAGCTGGGCATGGTGGTGCATACCTTTAATTTCAGCACCTGGGAGGCAGAGGCAAGGGGATCTCTGAGTTCAAGGATAGCCTAGTCTACATAGCAAGTTCCAAGTCAGCCAGTGCTACATAGTAAGATCCTGTTTCAAAACAAAACAAACCATATGTTAACCCAAGATTCCATTCCTGCAAAGGGCAATGTATATACATATGTATGAAGGTATCAGTTAAACTAGAAGGCTGAACAAGAAATATACCAGGCTATCCTGTGGTCACCACAAGGGGAAGGAAGTAGATCAACAAGGAGACATGTAGAGGTCAGAAGACAATTTGCAAGAAACAATTCTCTCTACCATGTGGGTCTAAAGGATTGAACTCAGGTTGTGAGGCTTCAAAGGCGAGTGCCTTTACTCACTGAGCCATCTCACCAACCCTATTTTCTTCTTTAAAAATTAAAAAAAGAGGGCTGGAGAGATGGCTCCACGGTTAAGAACACCGGTTATTCTTGCAGAAGACCCGGGTTCGAATCCCAGCACCAACATGGCAGCTAACAACTGTCCGTAACTCCAGTCCCAGGGGATCCAACAGTCTCTTCTGACCTCCACGGGCATTGCACGGCATGGGTGCACTTACTTAAATGCAGGCAATACATGTATACACATAAAATAAAAATAATAAAGCCAGGCATGGTGGTGCACGCCTTTAATCCCAGCATTCAGGAGGCAGAGGCAGGCAGATCTCTGTGAGTTCAAGGGTAGCCTGGTCTACGTAGTGAGTTCCAGGACAGCTGGGGCTACAGGGAGACCCTGTCTCAAAAAGACCAAAAAAAAAAATCCAAAAAAAAAGTAATAATAAAAAATAAGAATTTTTTTAAAAAGTAAAAAAGAAAAACAGTGTAGAGTTGATGATGTTGTATGAATTTGTCAGCATTTCTTAACTACAATTCCAAGTAATAAACACTACTTGTGGAGAACTGGTGGTTATCTAGGAACAAGGAGCCCAAGAACCCCAGCTTGGGCAAGAGGAGTCAGCCAAATCCCTGGTAGAGGCTCTGGGTAGATTTAAGTACATGCACACTTAAACATTTAAAATGGCCAGTTTTCAGGTTCTTCTCCCTTTCTGAGACAAAGATTTAGTGCATTTTCTTTTCCACTAGAGGGAATTATTCAATGGGACTCTTAAATCTCCCACTGGATCCTGTGGTGGGAACCATTCAGCTTCCCTGTCTGTCTGGATCATCCAATCCCCTATAATAGCTCACATTAACCAATTCCAGGGGAGAAAGGGAATTCATCCCATTCTCAAACATATAAAAAGCTTGGACCATCCAAGCAGACTTGGACACCATCTCCAGGTACCCTCACCATCCTGAGGAGTATGTAAGTACACACACTACACGTACAGGTAAGTGCACCCATGTTGTGTAATGCCTGTGGAGGTCAGAAGAGAGCATCAGATTCCCCTGGAACTGGAGGTACGGATGGTTGTTAGCCTCCATGTCGGTGCTGGGAATTGAACCCAGGTCATCTGCAAGAGGAGCCAGTGCTTTTGACAGCTGAACCATCTCTTCAGCCCTGTGCTCTTTCACTTTCAATAAAAGAATTCTCACTTTTTCACTTTTAATAAAACTCAGCTGAGTGCTAAGACCTTGCTTCTTTTCCCAACACTATATTTTTCAAACTGGCACAGAAAAAGACTACCTATTCCTACAACCTAGATGACTTCATCCTGACAGCATCAAGAACAAAGGGAAGCATAAACTGCCCCAAGTGAGGAACACACATTGTCTCTCCCAGGGGCAAAGCAAAGGATAGTAACTTTGGCTATCTCCTCCTCCTAAGTATGCCCAGTCATGTGCCCTTGAGAGGCCAGCCATTCCCTGTACATCAGAATCCTCACAAAGCCTATCCCCTCTGGCTTCAGCAGTCACCAGCCTAGCGAACAAGCCCTCCCTATCCATGCCTGCAATGATGTTGTCTTCTGACTGAGAAGACATGCCTGCAATGATGTTGTCTTCTGGCTGCAAAAGTCACATTTGCACAAGGGTCTCAAGCCTCCTTCCGTAAGGCCAGCCCCTACCTACCTTCCTGACTGCACCTGTCCACTGCACTCTCCTGAATTCACACAGCCTTGGTCCAGTTCTGAACACTGCATTGTAGCCCCTACACTGATGGCTCCAGATGCCCTGACTCTCTCATGTGCAGCATGATGGGATTCCGTGTCCTGCCTAAGACTCCTCCTACAGGTGTGTATACCTCTCATCCCAGAAGATAAAGGACTCACCTACTGATTCTTTCACAATTAGCAACATGAATCCTCCTGGTTTAGAAGTACAGACTACCAGTTTTGGGGTTTGTTTTTTTTTTGTTTTTTTTTTTTTTTGGTGTTTTTCATACTGAGTTCCATAGTGGCTGAACCAGCTTATACTCCCACGAGCAGTGTCTATGGGTTGCCTTGGGTCCACCTCCTCACCAGCACTTGTCGTTACTTATTTTCTTAAGGACTGACATGCTGTTATTTTCCATTGTTGGTGCCTGCCCTCCCAGTATGAGTGAGCTGGCACCTCACTGCAGTTTTGACTTGTGTTTCCCTCCCAAGTGGTGACGTTCAGCACCCCATGTGCCTGCTATAGCTCCTCA